CGTCCCAAATCTCTTAATAGTTCAGGGACCATAGAGGGTTATTTCTCACTCAGTCACTGTTAAGAGGAATTTGCGAGACTGATGCCTTCTTTTCCTCCCTAAGGTGTTTTGGGGACCCGGATTCCTTCCGTCTGGTGGCTTTGCTGTCTCTCAAGGTCCTGTTCATAGTCCACATCCAGCTGGAGGAAGGGAGGAGTATGGAGGAAGCAAGACCGGTTACTTCAAGGCCTCTGCCTAGAAGTGACACTTAGAACTTACCCTTAGGTCTCCCGCTTGTCAACCAATCATGGGTGTTAATCTCACTGTAGGGTGAGAGGAGAAGGTGGATGTCTTAAGAAATGTAGCCCTGGACTTGGCCTCCACTTTCTAGCTCCAGTTGAGTTCCTGTGAAGGGAGAGAATTGATACTGGAGAGCACTTGCCTCTTCCTTGGGAACTGTTATGAAAAGACAAATCACAGATAGGAGACAATACACATTAAAACCTTAGGGAGACTTTCCATTTCATATCCATTTCGTTAACAAGGGGATGGGGACACAGGAAACACTGGAACACTTTTAGGCATCCACCCCAGTGAAGGAAGGAGTCATGTGGAAGGATATTTAATAGCAAAAAAGTGGAAACAACCAGAGTATTCCTCAATTTAAAAATGGATATATAAACTACGGTTTATTAATATGATGGAATATTATACAGCTGTCAAAATGAGTGAACTGGATGTACATGTATCAACCCAAATATCTCAATATAGTAACGAATGAAAAATCCAGTTGTAAAGGAAACAGTGCCGTTTATGTACATTTAAAACAGTAATAGCATGTATTGTCTTTTTAGTTAAAGTAGAGTTGATTTACAGTTTCAAGGGTACAGCAGAGTGCTTCAGTTACATATATATCTATTCTTTTTCAGATTCTTTTCCATTATAGGTTATTATAAGACATCAGATATATAGTTCCCTACAGTAGGCCCTTATTGTTCACCTATTTTATATATAGTCGTATGTATCTGTTAATCCCAAATTCCCAGTTTACCCCTCCCCCTTTCCCCTTTGGAAACCATAAGTTTCCAAAACCATTGTTTTCCATGTCTGTGAGTCTGTTTTTGTTTTGTAAATAAGTTCATTTGTATCACTTTTTTAGGTTCCACATACAAGTGATATCAAATATTTGTCTTTCTCTGACTTACTTCATTTAGAATGATAATCACTAGGTCTATCCATGTTGCTGCAAATGGTATTATTTCATTCTTTTTTATGGCTGAGTAATATTCTGTTTTGTGTGTGTGTCTATATAGACACACACATAATGCATCTTCTTTATCTGTTCATCTGTCAGTAGACATTTAGGTTGTTTTCCTTGCTATTGTGAATAGAATAGCATGTATTGTTTATAGATGTATATATGTTTAAAAATATGTATAGGAGTGCATCCAGCACTTTCAGCATAACGTTTCCCCTCCAGGAGAGGGAGGAGAGGGGATGGGAGGATGGGTCTTTAGTCGTTTAATGTCATTCAATAACCTTGATTGTGTTTTTCAGTTTATTCATCATTGGTAGATTTAAAACATGACTGTTGAGACTAGCCAAGCTTTATTTATACTTTTGTTATTGAAGCTTTATTTAAAGCAGTTTCTGCTGTACATGTACTAAAATTAGATTATTGGCACCAGATTCCCTGGCAAAAATTGGACATTTATTTTCAAGATGTGACTGTAAATGAAGGTACTTACAGCTTTCTGATAAGACTTGGTTACTTACAGAAACGATTTTTATTTGAACTGACTTCTTCTGATTATAAATGTAGTTAGAGAAAGCAAACCCTTATGGAAACTATTGAATAGAGCAAGTGTGTATGTTTTGAATTGTCCTTTTTTTCTTTTCTTTTTTTTTAACTGGGGATTGAACCAAGGACCTTATGCATGCCGAGCATGCGTTCTACCCTCCCTACCAGTCCTTTTTTCTTAATAGAGTATTTTAAACATTGTAGTACATGCCATTCTTTTTTAGGATCTTAATTTTGAATAACTGCATATTTTTGTATCATTTGAAATTAATGTACCCAGAGCCTTTCCTTCTCTCCAGATTTTTTTACCCTAAATCTTTTCTCTCCTCAGCAATTGTTGTTCAAGGGAGAAAAATGAAGTCCACTTTTATTACTTAAATCTGCAAAGGGAACAGTTTAGTTAAGTAAATGAAATTTTGCAGATTTGGCTCTGCACAATATTTAGTAAGAGATGTTAATTTGCCTTATTGATAATTAAGCCCTGTCTGGTTATATATTTATTTACTGGCTTCCACAGTATTACAACTCAAGGAAATTTGCCAAACTGTATCAGAGTGAACTTTTCTGTAGTATAAAGGGAAACGACAGACTGGATGATATAAAGCGATGCCCTGTTATCCAGTGTGAAAGCCACTAGCCACATGTGAGTATTTCCCTTTAAATTAGTTAAAATAAAAATCTGATTCCTCAGGTATACTAGCCCCAGTCCAAGTACTCAAAAGCCACATGTGGCTAGTGACAAACCACACTGGACAAGCAGAGGACATTTGCAGCATCACAGAAAGTTGGACAACCTTGGGGTAAAGTCTGTACATGTTACTTGTTTATTATATTAGAATTTAAAAATCAGTTTGGTTTCAATTTTTTGTTCCTCGTATTATAAATCCTAGTACAAAGCAGAATTTCAGTAGTTTTGGTAACAGTGAACAGTTCAGAATTATTTAGAGTAAGTTTCACTTTGCTATTGACTTAATTTTTAAAATTATGTACTGAAGTGACACACAGCTGGACAGAGGATTTGCCAGCATTTGGAAATTCTCGAAGAACATTTCAGATTTTCTTGATACAATACAAAGTCCAGGAATGGGCAAGGGAGAGGTGGGCTCTTATATTACTTGGGTGAAGATCTAGAGAAGATGATGTCAAAAGAGGAAGCTACCTGTTTCTAAAAGACGCTCAGAAGCAGCAGATCAAATGGAGAAATAATGTATTGATTTGGGGCATGTAATTTGAGGTTATTATTGTAGTAGTTTGATATCTCTGGAAAAATCAGAAGCCGTAGGAAAGGAAAAATAAGAGGGAGGGCGTGGACAGGACCTGTCAGCCATCCTGCAGTCATTGGAAACAGCCACCAGGATTTGTCACCTAACTAGCCAGCCGCCTTGCCGTCATCTTCATTCAGCAGAGTGAGGTCAGTGGAGAGCGCAGGAGATGTTGGTCTGAGAGGCAGGAGAGCAGTGTGATGAAGAGCCCTGACGCGGAGCCAGATGGCCTGAGTTTTAAATCCCAGCTCTGCCATTGACTATCTGTGGGATCATAGCGAGGTATTCAACTCCTGTGCGTGCGTTTACCTAAAAAAAAGAAGGAATGACAGCGCTATATCTACCTTTCAGTGTTCTTGTGGCGGGTTACAGAATTAAAATAATAAGCTCATTGCAGACTGCAGTAGCAGTACTGGTAACCACCATGCAGGTCGTACAGGCACGTGGTAAGTGCCTTGTGATGCCTACCCAGCCTCGGTATTTATTATTGCAAGAAAGCAGACCTTTAAACAGGTAGTTGCAATAAAATGACATGAGTTTCCTGAGAGGGTAATTTCAGTTTTCTATGATAGTATATGTTCCGGTGACCTAATTCTTGATAATTGTTTAAGCAGAATTGATTTAGCTTTTAGGATGCTTGGTTTTATTTTAACTTATACTTGAATAGTGTTTCTCAAATCCACTGTTCTTATTCCGTAGCTTGTATTCTTTAACATTTGTTTATTACCTGACTATGATAAATGTTGAAAGTTTCCAAGATATTATGTAAAGATGCTGCCCTAATCATTCTGGTAAGATCATAAGTGTCAAAATTCTTTCCCCGATGCTCTGCATTATGGACCAGGTTGCCAGAAAGGTAATAGAATCCTCTCTTAGCAATGACATCTGGCTAATCAAAGTAAAATCGATCTTCCAGACTTTTTACAAGAGAGTTTGGTCCGCTTTGAGTATAATTAAAAGAATGTATTACTTGAAACCTGTTAAAAACAGGAAATCGTGAGGTACACCTGTTTTTCATATATAGGGGGGTCAGTTCCCTCAACTGTAAATAAGAAGAGGATAAAGTACATTTTCAAGCATAAAATTTTCAGGGCACCTGTATAAAGTCTGAAATAGATGAAACTTAGGTGCCAACAGTTAACGAATTTGTCAAAGAACCTTTCATCTCTTAATTGTAATTCTAGGTTTTTTAAAGGGACTCAGTTTGTCTTGTGATGCCTTGAAATTTACCTTTCGCCTTTGTGTTTCTTGGGCATTGGTGATGGGAAATGAAGGACGAAATCATCTTGTGCTAATAGCATTTCACTGTTTCATAGTATGTACAATATTGAAGCTCAGTAGTTATGAGAAATGCCTCTAGTAGGAGAAATTCCTTTGTTCTGGAGAAATCTGAATTTGGGGGGAAAGCTGACAATTTGAAGAAAGAAGAAAGGAATAATAAGTGAAGGGTCCAGCGCCTGGTAAGGTGTTCCTGGAGTGCTGGCACTCAGGTCCGCACAGCACCTGTTTCTTCGCTCTCGGCCGTTATTACAAACCAAACTGTCAGAATGTGACTGCCAGTTTCTTGCTTTGCTTTAATCATCATTTATGTTTTTAGCAGGAATATAACCTACAACCACTGCTTGAAGTATTGAAGCAATTATGTTTTAGAAATTAAAGATTTTATAAAGCTAGTATTTATTTGGTGGTGGCGGTGGTGGGGCAGGGAACAAAGGTTGAATTTTTACGTGGGTTCAGTGTAATGATGACTTCTCTCCCATTGGACTTCACATTACAAACGCCAAACCACAGCAATAGATGAATTAGCACACTTGTTTGTCATCTGTCAATTTATAGAAGTAGGTAATGTTTGTTTAGAATGTTCAGGACATCAGTTTCTCTGAAAATGATTGCAGGGTTTAAATGTCTCGGATTGTTCGCCAGTGGGTGAACTTAGATGCATTTGCTTTTTCTCCCAGATTCATGAGAAGCTTCACTACTACGAGAAGCAGAACCCCATGCCCATCCTCCACGGCGCAGCAGCCTTGGCTGATGACGTAAGTGTGCCTTTCTGAGCTCAGTGGGTCTCTTCCCCCACCAGCCCGTCTGAGGCAGAGCCCCTCCCAGTGCAGACAGATGCGTGTGATCCTAGGAGTGAAAACCAAGAGAAGGTGCAGATATTTCCCAAAGCCCTGTCATCGCTGAGTTTACACTGAGACTCTGCCGATTTTCATTCACTCTCCTGTCCTAGAAGTTGTGCACGGAGATACTCTGTTGTCCTGCCTTGGTGACTACATGATAGAAATTTTAGGCTGTGACTCTGTGGGGAGAGAAACGCTGTCAGTGGTTACTGTTTGGAGAAAGTCACAGACAAGAGAAATGCTTTGGAGAAATAGAGACAAATGATCGGACTCTGTCACTGACAGTACTAAAAATGACAGACCCTAGTGCAAGAACGAGACGTATGAAGTACATAGAAAGACAGGATTGTTTTTAAAATGGATTATAATGCACAGTATAAAGCCTGATTTATGGATATTAGACCTTTCTAAATTACCTTCATAACCAAAGACTCAATCTGAGCAGCGGTTGGCATTGATGGAGTAGTTAATTTCCTGTAGCTATAATTTTATTTTAAATCTGGGGGAGGGAACTAACTTGCTGTTTCTTACTGTTAACTTACGGACTCGGATGAATTGAGCCCACACCTGGATAAACTATAAAGGACACAAAGCTAGACAAGAAATGCATGCAGTGTGAAGGCTGCTTTTAGTGATATCCTGTAGCCTGTCTGTTGCTTATTCATTTTTTACGTGATTATGATAAAACAAACTAAAGTTCAGTTTCATTATTAGGGCTATAAGTGTAATGAAAAAAAATTGACCATCTTCAGAGGTCGATTTTCTGTGATAATACTGTGTGTTCCAATTCAGAAAATAAAACATGTATAATAAATCTCCGAGTTGTATGTTAATCTCTTTAGTCCTCAAACATGTTTTCTCCCATTTGTAGCGACAGAGATTACATATTACAAGGATGTTGTAATATACATGTTCTATGAAGAACCGTACCTTTGTCTTGCAGAGCCGAGATATTTGACACCTGAGAAAGCCTTACAAACCAGTTTTAAAACATTTACTGTTGAGGGTTTGGGCAAGTACTTATTTTTAGACCAGTGTAACTGAGGCCCAATCATGTTATGACAGTATTGCATTTTTATAGACTTTATGTAAATACAAGCTTAACATTTTGTAATTCATCAGAGCAATAGAGTCGAATGTTTTATTCAAGCGTGCAAAGAGCCCTTTGTGTCTTTTTGTAAGTTGGAAATTCTGTTAAAAAAAAGTTATCTTGTAAAAGGAAAAACACTTTGAAGTGTAATCAGGATATCTATTTTATCTGATTTTATTTTGTGTGTGTAATTTACATTATACCCCTCGTTTAGAGAAAAGTCCTTTCCAGAGATAAGAACAATTATTTTTAGCTTGTCAGAAACAATAGGGACAAATGGAAATTTTTGTGCAAAGTTTTAAGAAGGGTTTTTAAATGACAATATAGGTAGGTATTTTGAATTGTGTGCTGCATTTTTCATAATCCTGAATTTTTTCTATTTGAATCTTGCTTTTCTTACGAAAATGATATATGATCCTTCCTATAACCTAAAAATCGAATAGACATTTTGATGGGGAGACCTCTTAATAAAGAACATGAGGCAGGTTCAAAGTTCTGCTTTTTTCTTTAGCCAGAATCAGCAAATGGCAGTTTATGATCACGAAGGTAGAGGGCAGTCAGCATTTTTGGTACCAGTGTATAGTTGTCAACGTGTTATAAGTCACTTTATGATTAACCTGGTTTATACTTAACAGACTGTGTAGGTAAACATAATAAAAGTTTCAGATCATTTGCTCTTTTAGTGGCATTCTCATTTCTTTTCTACCCTAGCTCTAAACAGCACGCTACTGTGGATTTTTGGAAACCCTGTGGACTTCACCACCTCATTGAGAAGTTCTTTTTTCTGTTTTTTTTTTTCCTTCTTTTTTCTTTTTTCCAGCGTCAAAGCTCGATCCAGTCCTTTTTACAAGTGGTCCTTTGTCTACATGCAAAAGACCATTTTGTAGATGAAGTGCCAGAATCTGCCCTCCTTGCAATAAATCAGACCGTGATCTGGCTGTAGCAGGGTTTCTTGAGTTGTACTCAGCTGAGAGCCTGGGCTGAGATCAGGGCTGCTAAGAGCCTCAAAAGACCAGCAGTGACGGATTGTCTGTTTTCTTCCATGCTGACTTCTCCTTAATCACTGGAAAGTAGCGAGGGAGAGTCTCAGTCATCACACGTGGAGCGCCTCTGCGCTCTCACTAACCGTTCTATGTGTCCATGTGCTCTCCTTGCAGCTGGCGGAGGAACTTCAGAACAAGCCATTAAACAGTGAGATCAGAGAGCTGTTGCGACTCCTGTCAAAGCCCAATGTGAAGGTGAGGACGTGTGACACCTGTAATAAATAGCTCCAGAAAGGGCCACCTTCTGGGACTTGAGATGAATTTTGTGTCGAGCATCAGTTTTCAAGCAAATGTATTTTCAAGGAGGGCACAGTATTTTAATTCCCTAAATCCCATTAAGGAAAGAGAGTTGAGCTTTTTGATGATAATGTTGGGAGAATCTATAAAAATACTTAAATTGGGAAGCTCAATATTGAAGTTGGCCAATACGATGGAGCTTCAAGGTCATTTTTCTCTTAAATGAAGTTAAGAATACAGGATACAGAACCTGTTAGTGATTTTGTGTAGGTTCGTTTTACTCGGCTGGTTAATGGTGCACCAGTATATTTGACAACAGTATCTATTTTTTCTGTAGGATCCTTTCAGCATTCTCCTTCCTGTCCCCCACCAATTTGTGTTTTAATACATTTCCCATTTTACAGAGCAAAATAGTTTTCCTGTGTAAATATCAGTAAAATACTGGTAGAGCCATTTCAGTTCTCCCTGCTGTTTCCCTCCCAAATCTGTCCCTTCTTTTTCCTCCAAATGTGAGTAGTCAATAGGAAATGTTCCTGTTCATCCTGAGGTCATTAATGCTCCAGATCCTATAACCTGTATATTTTAGATTTGATACTACTGTAATTGTGTGTGAAAAACTATTCCAGGAGTCAACACTACATTGGGGTTAGTAGTTATGTAATGAAAATGATCAATAATCTTATGATGATTTCTGTTAAGCACATGTAGAGGTTGAATGAATGTGTTCACCTAGATGTGAAAACTGTTTCTACATCCTTAAAAAATCTCCTTTGGAACTTTGCTCAATGAAGTCTTAAATTACTCAAAAAAAAAAGTATTAAGCAAAAGATGAAGGGAAAACATGTACAGGATATGATTTCTAAAGCCTGTGAGTAAATATGAAATACACGAGTGGACTGCTGCAAAGGGTAAATGAACTGTGATTAGTAACACAAGAGGAATTGACTGGTGCAGGGGGAGGGAGTGAATTTTAGTTCTAGAAGAATAAGGATGAGATGAGGGCAGAACGGTTGCTTGGTACTAAAGACAGAGTGCGAGGGGAGGGAAGGGCTCAGAGAAGGAGGTTCATGAATGCTCTGCAGAGTTCTCCCTCTGGTCTTAAACCACACCTGGACGTTAATATTAATCAGAGCATGGTGACGGTAGCTGGGAGGCGCTTGGTCAGCCCCTTTTTGGGGATGTTGTCTCGGTGTGAATGTTAGAAATTAAAGAGGAATGTTTCTGACCCCCCACTTCTCCAAACCATAACAAAAGGTGATTTTGGTATTCTGTTCAAGAGTGTTTGAATAGCTAATAATGAAGCGATTATACTGCATAGAAACTGGCCATTAGCGCGAGAGGGAGGTGTGATCTCGGTCGGTTATGACACAGTGGAAGACGTAGCTATAGGCATCTCTGCCCCAGGCTCCCGGCGCAGCACTCCTAAACCCCCAAGTAATTTCCTAAGTGGTGGCAACACCAGGAGCACCTGCTGGACCAGCATTTGTCATTGACACTGTCCCCGACGCAGGTCTCCTAAGGCCCTTATACGTTTTTAAGTGATAAGAGCTTCCGGAGCATCTTTTGTTCTAATGAGGTGATTGCAGGTGGGCTCCTGGTTGGGGGCGGGACACCAGGAAGACCAAACCAGGATGAGAAGCTTGGAATTTTCAGCCTCACCCCCCATCTTCCAGAGAGGGGAGAGGGGCTGGAGATGGAGTTAAGGAGATGAGTTAAGGGTCGCTGATGCCTACGTGAGGAAGCCTCCAGAAAATCCCAGTAGCGTGGTGTTCAGAGAGCGTCCAGGCAGCAGACACGTCCATGGGCCTGGAGGGTGATGTACACCAAGTCCATGTGGACAGAAGCTCCTGCCCCCAGGCCTCACCTGATGTATCTCTTCCTCCATCTCTTCGTCTGGGTCCTGTATCATACCCTTTAATAAACGGAAATGTAAAGACGTGTTTCCCTGAGTTCTGTGAGCTGCTCGAGCAAATGTATTGAAGCCAAGGAGGGGGTTGTTGGAACTTCTGATCTGAAGCTGGTTGGTCAGAAGCGCAGGTGACAGCCTGGCCCTGTGGCTGCTGCCTGCAGTGCGTCTGGGTGGCGGGAGGGGCAGTCTTGTAGGACTTAGCCCTTAACCTGTGGGATCTGATGCTGTCTTCAGGGAGACAACGTCAGAATTGTGTGGAATGGTAGGACACGCACGTGGTGTCCCAGAGGATCGCTTGGTGTGGAGAAAGAACCCACATCTTTGGCGATCAGAATTTTGTTCTGTGTGAGCAATAAAGGAGACACGTGGGAAAGAAACACAGTCGGGAAGGGAAGAACTACACGGAAGGAGGGAAAATATGGGTTTCCTTCCCTTTATGGTGGTACGAAACTTTCTAATTGAATACTTAAACTTTCTTATGGCAAAAATACTATAGATGAATAATTTTGTCAATTTTTCATATTTGTGTAAGCAGTCAGCACGGGAGATGTGTATTCGGGGAATAATGTGTAGAAAGCGGGTAAGACTGCAGACATGTGCTGCCATGGACAGTGGCAATTTCTAGTTCTCCAGTCTTGGGGAGAAAATATCATTCTTCCCAGTTTGATCTAACATTTAACATTGCTTTCCTTGAAATCGTTTTTATGAACCACCATCCCTTTGAGTCTCACTTTTGCAGGTAATTACTTTTAAGAAGTGCAGTCCCCAAATAAGATTTAAGCTGTTTCAGAATATGATCCGCCACTTTTTTTTTGTCCTGGGAATAAATGAAAATATTTCCTTCCTTCCTTCCTTCCTTCCTTCCTTCCTTCCTTCCTTCCTTCCTTCCTTCTTTCCTCAGAAGCAAAGTACAGTAGAATGTAGCATGTATACATGAATTGTTAGTTGAACTGACAGTTAAAATATGAAAAATGTTCTGAGGTGTTAACTAGAGTATTGTCTTTAAACTTTACTGGCTAAGGAAACTAATGATTTACTGTTTAAAGTTTGCTGTTCCATTTCCAATATTTAATTCACAGTACTGAAAGGTAACATGAGGTATACCTCCAGAGTAATGACTTTGTTTTTCAACACACAGCTATCCACAACCAAGTGCATAGCCAACTATGAAAAGATAATGCACACTTTCTATAGATCTGCCAACTCATTTGGAAAAGTGTTAAAACTTGTAGTTTGTAAATGTTACCAGAGTTGGATGTTCATTCATTCATTCATTTATTTTGTATGTATATATTTTTTATTGAAGTACAGTCAGTTTACAGTGTGTCAATTTCTGGTGTACAGCACAGTGCTTCAGTCATACATGAACAAACATATTCATTTTCATATTCTTTTTCACTGTAAGTTACTAAAAGATATTGAATATAGTTCCCTGTGCCCTACAGTATGAACTTGTTTATCTATCTTGTATATATTAGTATCTGCAAATCTCAAACTCCCAGTTTATCCCTTCCCACCTCCTCTATGCCGGTCCCTCCAGATAGAGCTTGTGGATGACACACGAGGATTAATGGAGGTGATGGGGGAAATAAGGGGTAAGAAGAGGGAACACCCAGCAGTCGTGTGGAGCACGTGGTGGGGCCAGCTCTCAGGCCGGGTGGGGGTGGGTGGCGGCTGAGGAGGACTTCCCAGAGGAAGTGGTCTGTTCAGGGTGACACCTGAGGCTGAGTTTGAGGTTAACCCGAGCGAGCAGAGGAGTGAGGCAGGAGTGGGATGTGCAAAAATAAAGGTTTCAGGTAAGGGGAAGAGTCTGGAAAGTCCCACAAAGAAGATAACTTGTCGAGTTTGAAGATGTAAAGTGAGCTTTGTATGGCTGGGCGATAGTTTATGAAAGAGGAGGAGGGGGCAAGAGTTTAGACCTAGACAGTAGGGCCTTTGGGTAGGGGCAGGACGTCCTGGTTTGTCCAGGACAGTCTGGCTTTTGCCTGTAGTTCCAGCATTATAAATAGCCTCCTTTTTAATTTTAGTTGTTTCCTTATTTAGGTGATAAATTATATGGCCACTCTAATTGTGAGCATATTAAAAAGTTTGGATTTCATCCGAAGAGCAATAGAAGGTCATTGGAAGGATTTAAATAAGCAAATGACACCATCACTCTGCATGCTGTACACAGAACTGTTTCTTGGGGTTGAGCGTGGTGGCAGGGTGGGAGGGATGGGACACTGAATGGAGGAAGGTCACTCGGGAGCCTGTAGAAATAATTCAGGTGAAACATGATTGTGGTCCTTGTAAAGGATGTGAGGAGATGGTTGGAAGGAAGGGATGGGTGGAACTGGATGTATCTTTCAATATGAGGTGTTGCAACAACTGTTTCATTATTTGGAGAAAAATAAGACAGACCCCTACTGGGATGAATTCCAGCCAGAAGATTTAAGTGTAAAAAATTGAATCATAATCGTAGGATAGAGACAAAGCATTTACAACCTCAGGGACAGATGGAGAGACACACAGAGACAGAGGAAAAACTGGACAAAAATTCATACACGAGGTTGGAGGGAATAACTTATCTTTATAAATGATTTATGATACTGGCTTTCATAAGATGTGATAGTTTACTACTTTGACTTTGACTTTATCTTTTACAAAGTAACTTGATGAAAACTGAAAAATAAAGTTTTGGATAACATATAATTGTAATTTGGATTCAAACTGTAGAGAAAGTGGAAGTCCCTATCCTTGTTGCTTTATTAGTGAAGATGAGCATCATTTCATTTGCTTAATGACTTTTTAGTCTGTGATTTGCATGTTCATATACCTTTAAGGATAGCTACTCTCAACTGGCTGCATTATGCATGTGGAAATACTGCATACAGTTTTTTTCCCTATTACAAACAGGGGTAATAGAATGCACTGGTTACTGTGTTGTATTGTACCCTTTTGATCGGTCAGCTGCCATACACACACACACAAATTATTACTCAGTAACGTCTACAAAACCCAGTCTTACTGTCCAAGTCTTAAAGTCCAGAAAAAATAGCAGAGTTTAAAC